TAGTCTATAGTCTAGTTTATAGTCTAGTCTATAGTCTGTTCCATAGTTTAGTCTATCATCTAGTCCAATGTATAGGCTATAGTTATTAATATTGTCTTATAATTTCTCTTAGTGTAAATATTCGTTATATTCTACATATTTTTCTCTCACCCTCTCTTTTCCACAGTATTGAAACTCTTTTATATAAATTTACATAAAAGTTACTTATTTTCTATTCATTGTATACAAAAGTCCTGTTAAAAAATAAGTCACTCGTTAAATCCATTTTGTATTTAAAATTTTACACAATGTCATATTTACGACTACGAAAAAAGCATATTTAAGCTTTTGATCAATAGAAAGGGATGAAAACTTTTAACAAACAGTTTATAAAATAAATGAATGAAAAGTGTATCAAAGGATATGATGGTCAATTGCATATGAAAAAAAGAGATTCTATACAAAAACATTTTTTAAACACCTGACAAAGTTTCACCAAACCGTTAGTTTTGTTTATTTTTTTAAACAACATTTAGTAATGAGCTGCTGCTGCTATTTGTTTTTATTGGTTTTTAAAATAGTTAAAACTTTGTCGAGACTTTTAAATAAAAGCAAATAAAGTTTTGTTTATAATTAACCATTTAGATTTATCGTAAAATTGTTTTAAATAACTTTATTTTTATTTGTGTTAAACATGTGTGTTCTTTTTTTTAACGTGCATTCCTGGCATAAATTAAGGTGTAATTAAGCACGTAGTACGTGTGTAAATGTTAAACGACCTTTTTTGCGTAATTTGATACCAAAAAATAAAAAGTATCGGACAAAAACGAAAGGGCCGACAGTCAACTTATGTAAGAACAATTATTAATGTAATCAAGATCGTTTGGTATTAATTGCAAAAGGTCGAATTGTGTAGGGTGGAGAAGTATAACCTTCGGCAAGTCTTAAATAAAGTAATACACTGGGAGAAAGTTTTCAAATTTGTCATAAATTTAGTTTAGTCCGCAGATCGGTCGATAGTCTAGTTTTTATATCTGCCTATAGTCTATTCTATGGATCAGTCTTTGATCGGCCTATATACTGGTATATAGATTTGTTTATAGAATAGTCTACAGAACAAATCAGTCTAGAATCTGGTCTGTAGATCAGTATATTGTTTAGTATACAGTCTATAGATCAGTCTATGTACTGGTATGACATAAAAATCAGTCTATAGTCTGGTCTGTAGATCATTATATAGTTTAGTCTATAGATCAGTCTAAACTCTGGTCTATAGGTCAGTCTATAGTCTGGTCTGTAGATCAGTATATAGTCTAGTCTGTAGATCAGTAAATAATTTAGACTGTAGATCAGTCTGTAGATCAGACTATACTCTGATCTGTAGATCAGTCTATAGTCTAGTCTATAGTTCACTATGTAGTTTGGTCTATTGGGCAGTCTGTAGATCAGTCCATTGTATGGTGTGTAGATCAGTCTATAGCCTAGTATGTCTATCAGTACATAGTTTAGTCTATAGTCTGGTATGTAACTCAGTAGATCTGTCTATAGTATTGTCGGTGCATAGATCAGGTGTATAGATCAAGAGACCAGACTATAGTCTATAGATCAGTCTATACTCTGGTCAATAGATCAGTCTATAACCTTATATAAGTCCATAGTCTGGTCTATATATCGGACTATAGTCTCGTCTACAGATAAGTCTATAGTCTGGTGTATAGATCAGTCTATAATTCGATTTACAGATTAGTATTTACTTTGTTCTATATATCAGTCTATAGTCTCGTCTATAAAACGGTTTATAGTTCAATCTATACTCTGAGCTATAGATCTGTTCCTCAGATATGTATACAGTCTGTTCTGTCTATCAGCCTATAGTTTCGACTATAGTTTATATATTAGTCTATTTATTTATAAACTAATTTTTAAAATTTTTCATATTCAAACCATAAATTCATTTTAAAATACCGCTTTAACTCTGACATCCTATTATTAGCTATAAAATTTACAATTTTATTTAGAAACCATTTTCTTTCTGTGTCCTAATTCTTTTCCCATTTAAATTACAAACAAAAAAATAATACATTTCCCCTCACAAAAGGTCGTAAATTTAATACTTCAAATGGTTTTTATTTTAAAACACAAATTAAAAATTTTATTTAAAAGTCCAACAATAACAAAAATAAACAGCGAAATAGTTATTATATTAAATGACGCCTGTTGCTAGCCTTAAGGTTTCTAAACAAAAAATAACTCAAATAATTTACAAATATAAAAATAAACACAACTACAGCAATAAAACATGTCAACTAACTAACAACAAAGCATGAACCTGCATGTTTAATATAAATATGAATAAGTATGAACCCAGGTCTCTAAGCATGTCTATACGTATGTATGTGTAAAATTGTGGTTAGATTAGTTTGTAACGGTTTAAAACACACACACACACATACACATTTACTGTTATAAACAAGGGAGTGAGAGAGTGGGACAGATTTTAAAACATGATAACTGCATGTTGATAAAACACAAAGTTACGTTAATTAATCGTTAGGTGTCGCTACAAACACAACTTAACAAAAAAACGACAAAAAACTTTAAATCAACTTTGTTTAGAGCTTTAACAAAAAAAAAAGGATCTTTTCCTTTCACGTGCCTGTAATAAACCCAGCTAAAATCATGTTAATTTTTTTTCTGCTATAACGAAATGCGTGTTAGAATGTTATAAAATATTTAAACTTATAAAAATTTGTGTTTATGTTTCATTACTATTAAAAAACCCCAGAAAAAATAAGCTGTTCATAACTGTTGCCTTACCACAGGCTGTTTGAGGAGAGCTTAACGTTTTACAATTTCCTGTTGGTTTAAAAAGTTTTTTTTTTTTAAATTTTTTGATTTCAGTTTTGTTATAAAATTTATTGTGTTTCAGTTAAGTTAAACATAAACATTATTCTGTAATATAAACCGTGATAAAAGTTTAATAAATGACTTCTTGGTCAGGTGAATGTAAGAGTTAATGTTGTTGTTGTTGGTAGTACGACAAAAAATTAAACGTGATTTTTTTTTGTTTTTAAATTTGTTTTTGTTGTATAATAATAATATTTTTCACATAGTTATAAATTACAACTACAACAATAGTAGTAATAATAATATTTAATATATTGCAGAGTTTAGTGCAGAAACACCCTAGAGGTTAAATAAATAAAAGAAAAGATCGAGTGTGACCAACTTAATAGAGGGTGGGGAAGGGTTAAAAATATTGAATTTTTATATTGAATCTACAGTCTGGTTTATAGCTCAGTTTAAAGTCTTATCAGCTCACTACAGGGTATATTCTAGAAATTTGTTTATTATCTGGTCTATATATAAGTTATAGATTAGTCTATGGCCTATAGTCTAGTCTATAAAGCAGCCTGTTATATAGATATGTCTGTAATTTGATCTATAAATCATTTTATAGTATAGCCTAGAGATCAGTCTATAGTCTGGTCTAGTGATCAGCTAATCAATAGGTCATGATAATATCAATATTTGAGTCTTTAAATCAGTATATAGATAGAATCTATAGATCAGTCTTTTAATCAATCTATAGATCAATCCATATGTAACGAAAATGTCAATATATAAGTCTATAAATCAGTCTATAGATCAGTCTGTACACCAGTTAATAGATCAGTCTATATATCAATATAGAGACCAGTCTAAGATAAGTAGATAAGAGCAGTCTATAGATCTGACTATAGATCAGTCTATAGATCAGTCTAAAGATCAGTCTAAAGATCAGTCTAAAGATCAGTCTAAAGATCAATCTAAAGATCAGTCTAAAGATAGACCAGTCTTTAGATCAGTTTTTAGACCAGTCTATAGATCAGTCTATAGAACTGTCTATTGGTCAGTCTATAGACCAGTTAATAGATCAGCCTATAGACCAGTCTATATATCAATCTAGAGACCAGACTATAGATAAGTCTATAGACCAGTCTATAGCTCTGACGATATACCAGCCTATAGATCAGTCTGTAGATCAGTCTATAGATCAGTCTATAGATCAGTCTATATATCAGTCTATAGATCAGTCTTTAGACCACTCTATAAATCAGCCTATAGACCAGTCTATAGACCAGTCTATAGATCAGTCTATAGATCAGTCTATAGATCAGTCTATAGATCAGTCTATAGATCAGTCTATAGACCGCTCTATAGATCAGTCTATAGATTAGTCTATAGACCAATCTATAGGTCAGTCTATCGATCAGTCTATAGACCAGTCCGTAGATCAGTCTATAGATCAGTTTATAAATTAGTAGTCTAGATTAGATTAGTCTATAGACCAATCTATAGGTCAGTCTATAGATCAGTCTATAGATCAGTCTATAGACCAGTCCGTAGATCAGTTTATAAATTAGTATCAGTTTGCAAATCAATCTATAAATTTGTCTATAGAACAATTTATTGATAAATTAAGCTATAAAATATTGGTGTAGCTTCAACTCTGTGTAGGTTACTTATAGTCGGTCCTCTTCCATTAAATTTGTGTGTGTGTTGTTTTAAAGTCCATAACGTTGTAAGCAAAAAAATTAACGTGTTTTGTTCGGGAGTTTTTAGTTTTTTTGCAGTATTAACACAATGCCCAGGAGTAAACATTATTAAAACACACTAACATTATAATTTATAAAAATTAGAGGAGGAATTAACTTAAAAAAATGTAGAAAACCCACCCGAATGTGTATATGATACCCATAACAGATTAGAAGTAAAATTGCATGTTAGAATGGCATGACATGCAGACATTTCAGTCAGTTAGATATTCCAACGCATAATCACATAAAATCGATGCGACTAGTTATTTGGACAGTCATACGTTAGTTAGTTAAAAGTGTAAAAAGTTTAAGCAGAAAGGACATTAAGTCATCAAACAGGTTACTAGCAAAACTGCATTTTAACTTGTTATTACGCTAGTTGTGCACTAAACAGTTTGATTACCAAAAATACAAATTTACAAGCGTTAAGAGATATTAACAATGAGGTTAAAGTCACTGCATACAACAGCAACAAATCAAAGACTTAGACCACTCTATGCTGGCAACATGTTTGTGCTTTCACTATTTTTGTGTTGTTTGCTAAGCTCGGAGGTTTGGTCGTTTGCCAACATTAAGCAACGACACAGGTTGGTAAGACAACTCAATGCGGCCGAGGCAGTTAATTACGACAAGGACAGTTCAATGACAAACTTATATCATCAACCACATTTCACTGAGAATCGTGCTGTTATAGTGCAATTATTTGAATGGAAATTTTTAGATATAGCAGAAGAGTGTCGCAACTTTTTAGGACCACAAGGCTATGCAGGAGTGCAAGTGAGTTTGACTTACGGAAACCAAACAAACCACAGAGTTAATAATATGAAAGTATTATCTTAGATATCCCCCGTTTTAGAGCACACAGTAATCGAAACCTCCACCGTAAAACATCCTTGGTGGGAACGTTATGAAGTGATCTCTTATCGTTTGGCTTCACGCTCTGGTGATGAGTCAGACTTTTGGTCTATGAGCCGCATTTGCAATGAACATGGTGTGCGCATTTATGTTGATGTTGTACTCAATCACATGGCTGCTCCACTAAACTTTCTATTTGACATCAAAGAGCAGGACAATAAAGATTTCATTGTCAACACTTTGCTCGAAACGAATGTCAACATATCACAGTTAAATTACTCTAATGTCTCGTATACACAAGTGGACTTTCACCGCACGTTGTGCGCCGTATTGTCCCATACACAGGATGCTCATGAAATACGTAATTGTCAGCTGAATGGACATCCTGATTTGGATCATTCACGTGCTGGTGTACAAAAGCATATTGTTGAGTTGTTAAATAAATTTATTGATATGGGTGTTGCCGGTTTTCGTATCGATACGGCCAAATATATGTGGCCAATTGATTTAAAGGTAGTTGTGTGTGTGTGTGTTTGTTGGAAGTTGTAAGTGTAAAATGTTATTGATTTTGTGCTTTTGTTTTATTCTGCAGAATATTTTGAAACAAGTGAAAAATTTGAGTACGGAATTTAAGTTTAAGAAAAATTCCCGACCTTTTGTGTATCATGATGTTTTTGATTTGGGATTGGATACGGTGTCTAAGTGAGTAAAGTTTATAAATTTCTTCACCTATTAAGGTTTTTTATACACTATAGTACAGACTATAGACTAGACTATAATCCAGGTTATGGACTAGACTGTAGACTAGACTATAGACCAGGCTATAGACTAGACTATAGTCCAGACTATAGACTGGACTATAGTCCAGACTATAGACTAGACTATAGTCCAGACTATAGAATAGACTATAGTCCAGACTATAGACTAGACTATAGTCCAGACTATAAACTAGACTGTTGACTGTAGACTAGACTATAGACTAGACTATAGTCCAGATTATAGACTAGACTATAGTCCAGACTATTGACTAGACTATAGTCCAGATTATAGACTAGTCTATAGACTAGACTATAGACTAGACTATAGACTAGACTATAGACTACACTATAGACTAGACTACAGACTAGACTATAGACTAGACTATAGACTAGACTATAGTCCAGACTATAGACTAGACTATAGACTAGACTTTAGACTAGACTATAGTCCAGACTATAGACTAGACTATAGATTAGACTATATTCTAGACTATAGACTAGACTATAGACTAGACTATAGACTAGACTATAGACTAGACTACAGACTAGACTATAGACTAGACTATAGACTAGACTATAGACTAGACTATAGACTAGACTATAGACTAGACTATAGACTAGACTATAGACTAGACTATAGACTAGACTATAGACTAGACTATAGACTAGACTATAGACTAGACTATAGACTAGACTATAGACTAGACTATAGTCCAGACTATAGACTAGACTAAAGTCCAGACTATAGGCTAGTCTATAGTCCAGACTATAGGCTAGTCTATAGTCCAGACTATAGACTAGATAATAGACTACACTGTAGACTAGATAATAGTCCAGACTATAGACTAGACTTTAGTCCAGACTATATACTAGACATTAGTCCAGACTGTAGTCGAGACTAAAGTCTATAAACTTATATCTGAATTTTAAACTGTAGTCGAGACAGCCAAGTATTGCTCTCCTAATTATGTCAAATTTCTATCTCTCTAGAACCGAATACTCTACCTATGGTGTGGTCTCAGAATACTTATATCCCGCCGAATTGGCAACCATTATCCAAAGAAAAGTTCCCTTAAGCTCTCTCATCAATTGGGGTCCCGCATTAGGATTCCTGGCCCATGAAGATGCGTTAGTTTTCATAGATTCCCATGATACACAAAGAGGTCTACCCCAGCAATTGGGCAACAATCAACTTTTGACTTATAAACAGCGTCCTAAATACATAATGGCCAATGTTTTCATGTTGATACATCCCTATGGAGCCATAAAAAGGATTATGAGTTCTTACTATTTTGCAGACAAAGACATTAATCAAGGACCTCCCACAGAAGATGAAGAAGGTGAACAGATAAGTTCACCCCAGTTTAATGAGCAGCAGCAATGTACCAAAGAGTCGGGATGGGTTTGTGAACATCGATGGCCTGTTTTGGTGAATATGCTTAAAGTGGCCAACTATTTTAGTGTGCCGGGACAGGAAGAGCCCAGTATAATATATTTTCAAACTAATGGAGCTAATCAAGTGGCTTTCTGTCGTGGCTATAAGGCATTTGTGGCCATTAATAACGAACCGGAAATAGAGTTTGAAAAAGAAGTATATGCCTGTTTGGAACCAGGCACCTATTGTGACATGGTAACGGGTGGCAAGAAGGAGGGAGAAGAGAAATGTCATGGAAAAATGGTGGTAATAAATGAACAAGGTTATACTAAACTGAAATTGGCTGTAGCAGATGTGGAAAGTGGTGATAATAAGGAGGAAAATGTGGAAGGTGAGGAAGAGTCAGGCAGAATTGAAAGTTATGGTATCCTGGTGATTTATGTGGAATCGAAAATTCTGCCAAATGAGGCAGTTGATGCTAGTAATGAAGGAGAAGAGATTAATGATACTGAAGAGAGTGAAGCTGAAGTTAAAGAAGTTGGAGAAGATGAACCGCTTGAGGAAAATATTGAACAGCCAAATGAGGATGAAGAGAACAATACCGGTGCTGAACAGCCTGAAGAAGCAGATGTTTCATCTAAGGAAGAAAGCGAAACTGGCGAAAATCAAGGGGAAGAAAACGCGGAAGAGGATGCAAAAGAAGAAGAGGAAGTGGCTGCCGAAGAAGAGGCGGGTGCTGCTGATGAGAATACTGAAGGTGAGACAGCAGACCCCGAAACAGCTAAGGAAGATGGTGAAGCTGACGAAAATCAACCGGAAGAAAATGAAGAAGAGGAAGATGTTAACGAAGAAGGAGCAGAAGGTACTGCTGATGATAACACAGAAGGCGAGGCTGATGATGGCGATACATCTAAGGAAGAGGATGAAACAGATGAGAATAATCCAGAAGATGAAGAAGAGGATGCAAAAGCAGGAGTTCCTGATGAAGAAGAGGCAGGAGATGATGCAGATAACACTGAAGGGGAAGCTGATGACCCTGAATCGCCTAAGGAAGAAGGTGAAGCTGAAGAGAATCATCCGGAAGAAATTGTAGATGATGCAGAAGCAGAAGTTCCTGATGCAGAAGAGGCTGTAAGTGAAAACACCGATCAAGAAGACGGCGAAAATGACGAGGATAAAGGTCAAGAGGAACTAGAAGAGACTAAGGCGGAACTGTCAATAGAACCTGAAGAGGAAGTTGAAGAAAAAGCTTCCGATGACAATGATGGAGACGAAGAAAATAATTCAAATAACGAGGAAGGTGGAGAGGAATCCCCAAAAAGTGAAGAGGAAGATGTAGTTGAGGATCCAGCACAAGAAGAGGAAGGAGATGTTGATACAGAGGCAGATAATAAACCAGAGGAAGAAATACCTCCCAATGATCAGCCACCAGAAGAACAAGATGAAGCAGAAGACACAGAAAAAGATAACTCCCTTGAAATAATAACAAACGAAGCATCTATTGAACAACAAGATGAGCTAGAAACCGCTGAATCTAGAAATTTAGATGATAAAACTGCCGAAGCCGAAGAACAAATGGAAAAACCTATAACCGAAATAGTCGATGAGAACTCTGATGCCTCGGATGCTGTCACAGCAAAAATTCAAGAAGTCCAAGCAGCTGGTATTTTTGTAAAACCCAAAGGGGATGGTAACAATGGATAGCAAAGAATTCAAGCACGATGTTATACAATAATATTGTGCTATCTAATCTTAAGTACAATGTATGTAATTGATTTTGATTTTAACAATATTCTTTAAATTCCCTCCCACATACAGAGAAATACACAAATCTAAACACTGAAGTATAAACGTATAGTAGGGTGGCAGCAATTTGGAAAAATCTGAAAATATCTCTTGGTGAAAATTAAATAAAATACCAATTTAGGTTTCCAACAAAACGGTGCCACCCTATTGTTTAATAGTACATTTAGTAATACATTTGTTCACACACTATCTTAAAGAAGAAAAAAAATATTCTTAAACGATCTTAAGCGTTTTTTGCACAAGAATATCTGAAGCATAAACTTACTCACCAACAATGTATTCATAAGATGCTTTGGGTCTATGAAACATATACACACGCGCTTACCAACACATTTGTAGAGCAAAAATTAAAAAAAAAAACTAGAAAGTAAGAAAAAAAATATTTCTGGACATTTTAACAATAAATGCTTACAATGTTTTGTAAATTGAAAACGGAAATAAAAATGTTTGTTCCAACAACTACAACTGGTAGTTATACTAGTTATAATATCAAGTGCTAAAATCGGGGTTTATTTATAAAGGTTGGTTGTTTGGTTGGTAACACATAAGGTCCCTTGAATGATACATTTCTCTTGTTTAATAAATTTAGTAGGTTCGGTAGGCTAGTAGTTAGTCTGTCAGACCGGAGGCCGCAGGGTCGATTCCCACCACAGATGTATAAAGTATAAAATATAAAGTATAAAGTATAAAGCATAAAGTATAAAGTATAAAGTATAAAGTACAAAGTATAAAGTATAAAGTATAAAGTATAAAGTATAAAGTATAAAGTATAAAGTATAAAGTATAAAGTATAAAGTATAAAGTATAAAGTATAAAGTATAAAGTATAAAGTATAAAGTATAAAGTATAAAGTATAAAGTATAAAGTATAAAGTAAGTATAAAATCTACCTAAATAAAAATATTCAACTATACGTATGATTGATTTTAAATTAATCATACGTACTGAAAAGATTGTGTTAAGAGAGTGTGTCTCGTTTAATGAGCTTGATCTTTACATGATCGTATTTATAATTGCAATATAGTATTAGATGTAGGGTATTTTTACACTATGGCTGATAAAAATTCCAATTGGATTTTTTTGCATTCTATACATACAGCTGCAAAATACTAACAGGCAAATGTTGAAAGTGGCATACTCGAAGTTGGCTAGTATGTTACGAGGGTGGGTTAAACTTCTGTGCTATCTATTTATATATTTAAATTTACATTTTGTATTTTTATTGTTTAATTTTTTTATTGAGTTTTAGAAATAAGTTTTTTTATTAAAATAATTTTGTTTTTGTAAATTATTTTCAATCCACCCTCCTATTTTACATTTACAGTTTTTTTGTAACAAAATAACAAACTCAATTATGGCGATTTTCCAATATATTACCAAGCACTCAAGTTATATACCAACAAACAAATAGAAAATTTTCCAATAGTAAAAAAAGGATAAAATTTAATAGAAAAAGGGAAAAAATTCAACTAAAGTGAATAAAAAAAACCAAGAAAATAAAAGAAATCAAAGCATCTAATAACCAATGATTACCAAAAATGAAAACTATTGTTGAGATAAACGTACTGGTAATAGTTGTAACTCCTTCGATTACTACTGCTTCCACTATTGCTGTTTCCATTTAAACTATTATAATATGTATTTGTTATTGTTGTTGTTGCAATAAGTAGCCAGGCAACTCCTTATCGTTTTCTAGTTGATCAAAATTTAAAGCTTTTATTTAAAATGGCAACAGCAGGAAATGAATATTACAAAACATAATACACACACACCTACTCGAATAAAATGAAAAATATATATTTATTTTCTAAAACGTAGAAAATTGTTTGAAATTGAAAAATCTATTTAACTAATACATACAAGTAGAAGCTGCCAAAACTATTAGAAATGTAAGAGTTAAGGAACAAAAAGCGCATTTAAATGCAATGTTCTTGTATTTTGGTAAAGTTTCTTATCTTAGTGTTGACTGCTGTAGTTGTTATTGTGTAAATTGTATTTTGTTTAGCCAGTTGGCTGGTTTTACAAATCATTATAGTACGAAAATTGTGTTTTTGGTATAAAAATTGAATTTTTTTGTTTTGATAATTGATGTTAAAACTATTGTTATTTTTTGTTATTTTTGAGAAAGAAAGAATAGCAGGTGCAATATCTGGATAAAGATATTTGGTTGCGTTTTCTTATATTAAGTGGTTTTAATTGGTTATTTGGATGTTAGATTTATAAGTGTTTATTAGAAGTTTTAGAAAACTTTATCCAAAGTATTTGCTGGTAAAAACGTAACCTATAATGAAATTTTAAGATATGTGAATAACACCACAAATACACTAAGAGACTATAAGATTCCTAATCCATTTGAATATATCAAAGCTTGAGAAATTTTGTTGAAACGTCTTTAAAACATTTTAAATTAGTAGGACTATCTACAAAATGATACATTCACACAAATTGTTTGAGTGCGTATGATTAATTTAAAATCAATCATACGAACAGTTGTTATTTATTTTGGTAGATTTATATACTTTATACTTTATACTTATACTTTATACTTTATACTTATACTTTATACTTTATACTTTAACTTATACTTTATACTTTATACTTATACTTATACTTATACTTTATACTTTAGACTTTATACTTTAATACTTTATACTTTATACTTTATACTTTATTATACTTTATACTTTATACTTTATACTTTATACTTTATACTTTCTACTTTATACTTTATAATTTATACTTTATACTTATACTTTATCTTTATACTTATACTTTATACTTTAACTTTATACTTTATACTTATACTTTATACTTTATACTTTATACTTTATACTTTATACTTTATACTTTATACTTTATACTTTATACTTTATACTTATATTAATACTTATACTTTATACTTTATACTTTATAATTTATACTTTATACTTTATACTTTATACTTTATACTTTATACTTTATACTTATACTTTATACTTTATACTTTATACTTTATACTTTATACTTTATACTTTATACTTTATACTTTATACTTTATACTTTATACTTTATACTTTATACTTATTTATACTTTAACTTTATACTTTATACTTTATACTTTATACTTTATACTTTATACTTTATACTTTATCTTTATACTTTATACTTTATACTTTATACTTTATACTTTATACTTTATACTTTATACTTTATACTTATACTTTTACTTTATACTTATACTTTATACTTTATACTTTATACTTTATACTACTTTATACTTTATACTTTATACTTTATACTTTATACTTTATACTTTATACTTTATACTTTACTTTATCTTTATACTTTATACTTTATACTTTATACTTTATACTTTATACTTTATACTTTATACTTTATACTTTATACTTTATACTTTATACTTTATACTTTATACTTTATACTTTATACTTTATACTTTATACTTTAACTTTATACTTTATACTTTATACTTATACTTTATACTTTATACTTTATACTTTATACTTTATACTTTATACTTTATCTTTATACTTTATACTTTATACTTTATACTTTATACTTTATACTTTATACTTTATACTTTATACTTTATACTTTATACTTTATACTTTATACTTTATACTTTATACTTTATACTTTATACTTTATACTTTATACTTTATACTTTATACTTTATACTTATATACTTTATACTTTATACTTTATACTTTATACTTTATACTTTATACTTTATACTTTATATTTTATCTTACTTTATACTTTATACTTTATACTTTATACTTATACTTTATACTTTATACTTTATACTTTATACTTTATATACTTTATACTTTATCTTTATACTTTATACTTTATACTTTATACTTTATACTTTATACTTTATACTTTATACTTTATACTTTATACTTTATACTCTTTATACTTTATACTTTATACTTTATACTTTATACTTTATACTTTATACTTTATACTTTATACTTATCTTATACTTTATACTTATACTTTATACTTTATACTTTATACTTTTACTTTATACTTTATACTTTATACTTTATACTTTATACTTTACTTACTTTGTAATTTATAAACATATGTCTTAAGCGCTCTTTTAACAGTGGGAATCGAACCCACGACCTCCAGTCTGACAGGCAAGATTACTAACTACTTACCTACCTTAGGCACATTCCCGGCAATAGTTTTTAAAATTAGTTAATTTTTTAGTGTGTGTTTAATATTTAATGTAAAAATCTCTGCTACGCCGAATCTATTTAAAACTTTTCCTCTCTGTTTACATTTTCAGATTCCACTGGCACGTGTATCTAACAACTTTTTTCCTTAATAAATAACTGTTGCTTGTGTGTTGGCTGTTAACTTAGCATCCACTTTTACAGTAAACTGTTAGCAACATTGAAATGTAAAAGGAAAATGTTTAGACACAAACAAAAACGAAGTGTTGGAAACACGAACAAGTCAGTTTAGTAACGGTGGGCAATGAAACAACACGGCCTTTTGAAAACGGAAACCGAGATTTAGAGAAAAAGTGAAAAATAAAGAAAATACAATTTAAAAAGCCAAAAAAAAAAAGAAATATTAAAAATTTCTAAATAAAAATATGAAAATAAAGTAACACGTAAAAGTTTTGTAAAGATGAAAATATGAAAAAAACGCTGATTTTGCGCTTGTTTAAATAAAATGATGCTCAAATAAAAATGCACATATGAATGAATAATGAATGAATGTAAAAGAGTTTTTTCAAAGGAAAATATAAGTTTTGTTTGTGAATATAAAAGGCAAATAGAAATTGTGTTAGAAAATATGTTAAATATGAAAAGGTTTTAAAATTATTAAAAAAGTTTTTTTGTTTTCATCGGTGACGTTAAGTGTGTTCGGAAAGCCAGAAAATGTGGCAAACTTTTTAAACTTTAACTTCCGGTTTTTGTGCTTGTGTGTGTGTGATGGCTGTTGTTAAAAGAATATGTTGAGGCTAATGAGTTTATAATAATATTTACTTTTTTTGGAAAAAAGCAAAAATTCTTTAAATTAATTATTAAAATGATAAATAAATATTAAAGAAGCAAAGTTTAAATCCATTAAAGCTAATAAAAAATGAACAAAACAAAATATAAATTAACTCATTATTTGTTTTACTCGTATTTTTGTTGTTGTTGTATAAAACAATTAATGTTTGTGTTGAGTGTTTAACTATTTAACCTGTTTTTGTGGTAAAAAGAAAAAAAAAAACGTTTTTATTTAAACTGAGGTCTGAGGTTGATAAATAAATGTCATGCATTGAAAATTAAACAACAACAACTACAACTACATGCTTTGCAAAAAAAGTGTAAATATTTGAAAAAGTGTTTAAGTGTGTGTGTGCTAAAGTACAAGGATCATTTTGTTTGCCACAAAAAAAAAAGTTTTTATAAAATAAATTAAAAAATAAAGTTAGAGTGTGTGTGTAAAGCCAATGAATGCAATTTAGTTAATTGAAATTTACATTTGATTTAATTAAATTTTTAATAAATTATAAAACAATGTAAAAACTAGAGAAAAAACAAGTTAAAATGAAAATCTCTTTTAAACATACACACACAGAATAAAGCAAGCACAGACATGCAAAGCAAAAACTTTAACAAAGTGTTAGTATGCATTGTTTTACTGCAGCAATTTTAACAAAACACAACAACAATAACAATAGCTAAAGCGAAAGAAACAAAAGAAAACAAAAACTATAGTGTTTTAATAATTTACAATTACTTTGAGTTTATTTTGCTCAATGCTTCTCTCTGCTGGTGTGCTTAAGCTGACTGCTTCCAGTTATTTCTGTCTATTCAACTGCCTGCCTGCCTGTTCATAGCTGTTTCATTTGTATTAAGGTAAGTTGTATCATATTGAATAATTAATATTTATAAATATTATACTTTTTACTCCACATACATTGTTTAAGGCAACTCACATACATATATCCTTTTTTATACTTATACATATGTGTGAACATGTTTGCTTTTTGTCTATTTCATATTGTTGGAATATTTTTGCATTTTTCTTTGTTTTTTATTTTAGCAAAAGGGGAAATTCTTTTTGTACAAAATTTTCTTTTATGTTTTGTTTCGTTTTTTTTTTTCATTCAGATATTTTCAGTTAATTGCAGTTGCTTTCGTTTAGTTTTCTATTTTTTCTGCATAGAATTCTTTATGAATTGCAGCTGGAATTAGTGTTAAAGGCTTTTAGGCCATTGGTATTAGAAAGCAACATATAAAGAATTTTAAAATATAAAGGAATTTTTGGCATTTATACAGAATGAATTTTTACAGCAAAAAAAGTTTAAACAAGAATTTTGCAAAGTAAAATTTAAAAAACAATTTATGCAATAATTTAATTAAATTTTTTTTTAACTAAATTTCATACCAAATTTGCTCTATAAACCTTTAATAAAGGTTTATGAAAAGGTTCTTTAAAATTTTTAAATATTTAAAAATTTTCGTCTTTGATGGGCAATTTTTTCACTTTTTTTCTTCTAAGACCAAGCGATTTTTTACTAGATTTCTAAGGAATATTTTGTTATGAATCGAATAAGCTTTCATTTTTTAAAATCGCTTGGAAATTTCACAAATTATTAAACTTTTTCCAAAACTAGTTTTTTGGGTATTACTGGGCGTATGATTGATATTAATTATAAATATTTTCACTTGTTTCTTCTAAAATTAAGAGATTTTTGGCCAGATTTCTGATAAATATTTTATTATATATCCAAAAAGCTTTCATTTATCAAACTCGCTTGATAATTAGACAAATTACTGAACTTTTTCCAAAGCTAGTTTTTTTAATATAACTGGGCGTATGATTGATATTAATTTACAAATATTTTCCCTTTTTTCTTCTAAGATTAAGACATTTTTGGTCAGATTTCTGATGAATATTTTGAAGTACATCCAACAAGCTTTCATTTATTAAAAACGCTTGATAATTAGACAAATTATTAAACTTTTTCCAAAGCTCGCGTATGACTGATATTAATTTATAAATATTTTCACTTTTTTCTTCTACGACTAAGAGGTTTTTTTTCCTGGTTTCTGATGATTATTTTATTATAAATCCAAAAAGCCTTCATTTATCAAAATTGCTCGGAAATTACATAAATTATTAAACTTTTTCCAAAACTAGTTTTTTGGGTATACCTAGGCGTATGATTGATATTAATTTACAAATATTAATATAAATCATTATAAATTTAAATATTTTTTCAATTATTTTGAAAGTAATTTTAATATTTTTTACAAAATTTACAAATTATTTTAAGATTTACTTCATCTATAAGTTTGTTCGAAATTTTTATTAAAAATTTCCGTTTTTGAGTTAAAATTTATTCAAAATTTTCTTTCTAGACAAACAGATTTTCTAACAGTTTTCTCAAGAATATTGTATTATCTAAGAAACCAGCTTTTATTCATTAAAATCGCTTAAAAATTACGAAAGTTAATGAACTTTTTGCCAAGATAGTTTTTTTTTGCAAGTTAGGGCGAATGATTGATATTAATTTACAGAGATGGGGGTAGTGCACTATATTTTTAGTTAAATCAATATAAATTTAAATATTTTTTTTAAATAATTTTAAAAGAAATTTTAATATTTTTAACAAAGTTTTAAACTAGTTTAAAATTTACTAAATCTTCAAGTTTGTTTTAAATTTTTATTAAAATTTTCCGTTTTTGAGTTAAAATTTCTTCAAAATTTTCTTCCTATACAAACAGATTTTCTAACAGTTTTCGCAAGAATATTTCATTATATAAGAAACCAGCTTTTATTCATTAAAATCGCTTAAAAATTACTAAAATTAAAAAAATTTTCCAATATCTTAATTTTTTTGTGTACACCTGGGCGTATGATTGATATTAATTATACAAATATTACTAAAAATCTTTACAAATTTAAATATTTTTTTAATACTTTTAAAGTAAATTTAATATTTTTTACATAAGTTGCTAATTTGTAGCAGTTTGGTTGCTTTTCACATCTGTTTAAATTTTCCTACTTTATAGTAAAATTTCTGCATAATTTTCTTCCTATACTATGAAGTTCTTTAATAAATAGACTTTTAAAGATTATTTTATTATCTAACAAATAAGCTTTCATTTATTAAAATCGCTTGAAAATTACAAAAGTTATTAAACTTTCCGCAAAGATAGTTTTCTTAAGTGCACCTGGGCGTATGATTAATATTAATTAATAAATATTAAGAAAAAACATTAAAAAGCCAGCATAAATGGAGAATACAAATTACTCACAAACATTTAATCAGTGTTGTAATTCGCTATTTAAATCTTAAACAATTACAATTATTCATCTAATTGTGCTAAGCAGCTTAACAATGATAACTTTGTAATTAAAATTTTGATAATTTTCATTAACATTACACAGTATAACAACTACTAAGCTGCTTTAAAATTCAACTTACTGGTTTAAGCTTTAGGATAAAGAAATTTAAAAATTAACAACAAAACATTAAAGATAAATCTAGAAATAATAGAACATTTTTGTAATAACCAGTTTCTTGAACTTTCTAACACATATGCAGCATAAATAAAATTTATGTTCCAAAATATAAACCACTTTATTTCTATATAAAAATAACTGTAGCATTACAACCTATAAATACTTTAACTTTTATATTATGTTCTTAATTCTGTTAAAGATATTTTTTATTACATTTTATTAAAAGCATTAAAACATATATAACTTTTTAGCTGTAATTAAATTTGACACAATACATAATAACATAGATATATTGTAGTTATTAATTTATAACGGAAATATACACTGCCACTACAACGATTTTACTAAACCGGAAATACTCTAATACACATACATATTAACTAGAGCAAGTGATAGGTTGAGACAGCTGCAGTTTAACACAAACATTATTTTGTATTTGCTGTTAGAATTACTAACCAACATCACGTTTCACGGATCACTATTATTCAACATTAAATTCGGTGTAAATAGAAAATAAGATAGAAACCCAAAAAAATTATGGTAGAATGTTTTAAAAGGTAAATGAACTGAAATTATTATTTTTGGACAAAATTTAACTGGGGGTTAGGGGTTTTGGTGGAAAGTTTTTATAACTATTGGAACTAAGTTAGCGAATGTTTAGTTATAGCTCCGATTATGGACTAGATTGTATGCTAGACTCTAGATTATTAGAGTCCAGATTATATACTAAAATATTATCCAGATTGTAGACAAGATTTTAGATGATTACAGTCTAGACTATAGAATATAGTCCATACTACATACCATACTATACTCTAAACTTTTGTCTACCCTATAGACTAGACTATAGCTCACACTAACGACAAGACTATAGTCCAGATTATAGACTAAAATATTGTCCAGACTATAGTCGAAACTATAGATTAGACTATAGTCGAGACTATAGACTAGACTATACTGTAGTCCGGACTATAGATTTGACTATAGTCCAGAATGTTGATTAGACTATAGCCCAGACTATAGACTAAACTATTGTCCAGACTATAAACTAGACTGTAGTCTAAACTATGGACTAGACTATAGTCCAGACTATAGACTAGACTATTGTCCAGACTGTAGACTAGAATATAGTCCAGACTATACTGAACTAGAACTGAACTAGAACTGAACTAGAACTGAACTAGAACTGAACTAGAACTGAACTAGAACTGAACTAGAACTGAACTAGAACTGAACTAGAACTGAACTAGAACTGAACTAGAACTGAACTAGAACTGAACTAGAACTGAACTAGAACTGAACTAGAACTGAACTAGAACTGAACTAGAACTGAACTAGAACTGAACTAGAACTGAACTAGAACTGAACTAGAACTGAACTAGAACTGAACTAGAACTGAACTAGAACTGAACTAGAACTGAACTAGAACTGAACTAGAACTGAACTAGAACTGAACTAGAACTGAACTAGAACTGAACTAGAACTGAACTAGAACTAGAACTGAACTAGAACTAGAACTGAACTAGAACTGAACTAGAACTGAACTAGAACTGAACTAGAACTGAACTAGAACTGAAATAGAACTGAACTAGAACTGAACTAGAACTGAACTAGAACTGAACTAGAACTGAACTAGAACTGAACTATAACTGTACTCCAGACCGGTGGGAATAATAAATTATTTTAGAAAAATATTACTCATACGTCTCGTTGTCTTTGTTTTCAATGTATTTAAATTATTTTTTTCTTAAATGCTTTAAAAATTATAACAATGTTTCTTTTAGGGCCCTTAAGTTTCTTTTAATAACTTTTAATTATTTCCGTTAAAACATAAATCATTTCGCACTTTTCCTTCTTATACCTGCCTAAGTCCAGCTAAGTGTCTCTTAAGTGTTTATCTTTTGACGTGTTAAAAATATTTAAGCATCTGATTAACATAATAATTTTCAATATTACCAAAAAAATGTAGAAGATGGTTTTTCATAGCCCTCCACATTTAAGTAATTAACATTATTTAAAGGTCTGGCATTTAGAAGGGCATTTTGTTCAGCTTTCATTTCCTTTTAGCTATTGTTTTGTTGTAATATTTTGTTGATCCAAAATATGGTTTATATAGAGCAAGTGTTTTTGATTTGAAAATTGTTGATGCTTTTTAAATTTAATTTTTATTTTTAGTGAAAATAAATTTTAATGGTTTTGTTGGTTGTTATAAGGGAGAGGAGGCAAAAGTTTAATATTTTTAGAATATTTAATTAAGTTTTCTTAAGGGTGAATGAAAGGAGGGGGAAGAGGAGGAGAAATATTATATATTTGAAAAGAAATTTGTTTTAAAGATTAAAGAACTTAAGAAAAGTATTAGTATTGGCAAGGATTATTCAAATTT